ACAGAATTGTTACTGAGGGACACAGAATTGTTACTGAGGGGGACACAGAATTGTTACTTAGGGACACAGAATTGTTACTCAGGGACACAGAATTGTTACTGAGGGACACAGAATTGTTACTTAGGGCCACAGAATTGTTACTCAGGGACAGACACAGAATTGTTACTGAGGGACACAGAATTGTTACTGAGGGCCACAGAACCGTTACTTAGGGACACAGAATTGTTACTCAGGGACACAGAATTGTTACTGAGGGCCACAGAATTGTTACTTAGGGCCACAGAATTGTTACTCAGGGACAGACACAGAATTGTTACTCAGGGGGACACAGAATTGTTACTGAGGGACACAGAATTGTTACTTAGGGCACAGAATTGTTACTCAGGGACACAGAATTGTTACTGAGGGCCACAGAAAACCGTTACTAGGGCCACAGAATTGTTACTCAGGGACACACAGAATTGTTACTGAGGGACACAGAATTGTTACTGAGGGACCACAGAATTGTTACTTAGGGCCACAGAATTGTTACTCAGGGACACAGAATTGTTACTGAGGGCCACAGAATTGTTACTGAGGGCCACAGAATTGTTACTCAGGGACAGACACAGAATTGTTACTGAGGGACACAGAAATTGTTACTGAGGGACACAGAACAGAAGAACCGTTACTTAGGGCCACAGAATTGTTTACTCAGGGACACAGAATTGTTACTGAGGGCCACAGAATTGTTACTTAGGGCCACAGAATTGTTACTCAGGGACAGACACAGAATTGTTACTGAGGGACACAGAATTGTTACTGAGGGACAGACAGAAATTGTTACTGAGGGACACAGAATTGTTACTGAGGGCCACAGAATTGTTACTTAGGGCCACAGAATTGTTACTCAGGGACAGACACAGAATTGTTACTGAGGGACACAGAATTGTTACTGAGGGCCACAGAACCGTTACTCAGGGACACAGAATTGTTACTCAGGGACACAGAATTGTTACTGAGGGCACAGAATTGTTACTGAGGGACACAGAATTGTTACTCAGGGACAGGGCCACAGAATTGTTACTGAGGGACACAGAATTGTTACTGAGGGCCACAGAATTGTTACTCAGGGGGACACAGAATTGTTACTCAGGGACACAGAATTGTTACTGAGGGACACAGAAGTTACTTAGGGCACAGAATTGTTACTCAGGGACAGACACAGAATTGTTACTGAGGGACACAGAATTGTTACTGAGGGCCACAGAATTGTTACTTAGGGACACAGAATTGTTACTCAGGGACAGACACAGAATTGTTACTGAGGGACACAGAATTGTTACTGAGGGCACAGAACCGTTACTTAGGGCCACAGAATTGTTACTCAGGGGGACACAGAATTGTTACTGAGGGACACAGAATTGTTACTCAGGGACCACAGAATTGTTACTCAGGGACAGACACACAGAATTGTTACTCAGGGACACAGAATTGTTACTCAGGGACACAGAATCGTTGAATTAAAGAGTATGTCAGACAACATGCAGAGGAGTGGCAGAGGAGGCAATGTTTTAGGAGCGAGCAGACGTGGCAGCAGAGGAAGGGGTCGAGGCAGCACTAGTCGCAGCCAGAGGCCAGTGCTCCCGGTGTCATCCAGCGGTCGTGTCCACCACGACAACCCTGCCGTCATCGATTGGTTGGCTCGGTCGTCTTCCTCTTCCCAGGTCACCTCTGACACCTACAGCCAACGGTCGGTGGGTACGTCAGACACAACCGTTAGTTGGCATGGCCCGGGAGCAAGCCCACTGAAATCACGTGTCCTCTACCTGCCCCTGTCCTTTGGTGTTCCCTCACCAAGCGAAGTATCGCATGCTGTGGGCTCAGCCCCACTGTACAGTGAGGAAGAGCTAACAGAGGGCGGTCAGGAACGGGGGGAGACATCCGCCTCTTCAGCAGCCAGGCGAAGAAGTACTGGCGAGGAGAGTGGCTCGGTAGCCGGTCTAGAGACAGGTCTGTCTCCTGACCCACACGCAGCCGAGGGGGCTAGTAGTGAGGCGGAGACCCTAATTGATGATGAGGAGGTGATCGCACTTGGCAGCCTCGTCGTCATCAGGCAATTTCTTCCGCATCATCAGGAGAAGAGGGTGCCAGCTTGGCAGCGAGCAAAAACAGTCGGGTGGGTTGCCCAGGAGGCAGCAGGGTCGCAGCAGTGTCAGTGGAGGCAAACGGCCACGGAGTAGAGCACCAGCTCCACTGCAGCCTACCACCACGGCCAGTAGTGGTGCCGGTGTGCACGGAGGAAGTAGCAGTCAGCCAGTGAGGAGTAGCGGGGGGCAAAGTTTCCTACTACGGCGGTGTGTGTGGCAATTTTTCGTCAAGCAAGCCGCCCGAGGAAGTAAACGTAGCCGTATGTATGTCGACTATGTGGCCAGAAAGTCAAGCGTGGCCAGGGGGCCCATGTTGGGACTACAGCGTTGCGTCAGCATATGCAGCGTCGCCATTTGGTGGCCTGGGAAAACCGTGATAAAGATACGGCGGTTCTGCCTGCCCCAGCCCCCGCTCCATCACCCGCTCCGTTACTTGCTCCGTCACCCGACGTCAATCGCCCTCTATCAGCCAGTCAAGGCTCCAACACCTCTGCTGAGGGAGTTGTCGCTCGTTGGCATCTTCCGCTCGTTCAGATGCTCCTTCTCCTGCTACTCCTCTTCACGGATTCCGTCAGCAGTCTTTCTTGGAATCCGTTTCCAAGAGACAACAGTTTGCGAGCACGCACCCGACGGTGCAAAAGCTGAACGTCCTCCTGTCCAAGTTGCTGGTGCTGCAGTCCCTCCCTTTCCAAGTGGTGGACTCAGCACCTTTCCGAGAAATGATGGCTTGTGCCGCGCCGCGGTGGAGAGAGTGCCAAGCCGTCATTTCTTCGCCAAAAAGGCAGTGCCAGCCCTGCATTCACATGTAGAAGAGATGGTGGGCCAGTCTTTGAGCATGTCGGTCTCTGCCAAAGTGCACGGCAGCGCCGAGACGTGTGGAGCTGTAACTACGGTCAGGGACAGTACATGTCATTTACGGCCCACTGGGTGAACGTGGTGCCGGCACACAGCCGCACCAGCAACTTGGACAGGTCACGACGCTTTTGCCTCCACGTTTGCACGTCCTTGGTCCAGCAAACATGTCCGCCTCTACCACCTCTTCTTCCGCCGTGTCCTCAGCCGCCACCCCCCCGTGCCAAGTCCCATTACCCGACCGGCATATCACATGTGCAGGGCGCAACGGTGTCACGCTGTGCTGCACCTGGTATGCCTTGGCGAACGTAGTCACACAGGGGAGGAACTTCTGAGTGTAATGAACAGAGAAATCGACAGATGGCTGTCTCCGCGCAAACTGAAAATCGGAACCATGTTGACCGACAACGGAAAGAACATGGTGTCTGCTCTGCGTCAAGGAAGGTTGTGCCATGCGCCATGCATGGCTCACGTGTTCAATCTGGTTGTCAAGCGGTTCCTAAAATCCACCATCCCACTGCAAGACATCCTTTAAAATGTCACGTAAACTTTGCATGCATTTCAGCCATTCCTACACCGCAAAGCACACCCTCCTTGAGCTGCAGCGCAGGCAGAAACGGAATTCCACAGCATCGCCTGATCTGCGACGTTGCAACAAGGTGGAATTCAACCCTACACATGTTAGACCGCCTTTACGAACAGCGAAAGGCCATCACCGATTTCCTGATGTTACAAGCGGATAAAGGTACTCCCCTGTGTAACTTAGATGTCAGCCATTGGCAGCTCATGCGTGACACCTGCCGCTTGCTCAGGCCCTTTGAGGAGGCCACGCTATTCGTGAGTCGGCAGGACTATGGGATGAACGACGTCATTCCTCTGTTGCACGTCCTGGAACAAATGCTGTTAACAATGGCTGGTCAGGGTGCGGTAGACGTGGCGTGGCGCACAGATCTCAACGCCACATGACCCCTGTGGGGGCAGGACAGGAAGAAGAGGAGGAGGTAGAGGAGGACATTTGTGCTCAGGAATTATTGAGTGAAATGGGTGGTTTTTCCACTCAGCGGACAGGAGTGGAGGAGAGGAGCATCTGGTAGAGGAGGAGGAGGAGGAGACAGAGGACCCAGACGCACCGTGGCAGTATGCTGTGGAGATGGAGGCAGGGAGTCCCTCGCATTCCTTGGCACAAATGGCCCATAGCATGCTCGGTTGCTTGCGTAGCGACAGCCGAATAATAACCATCAGACAGAGGGATGACTTTTGGCTGTCCACCTTGTTGGACCCTCGCTACCGTTCCAAAATGGTGGCCTTTTTCACACCTGCTGAGAGGGAGGCCAAAATTACGTACTATAAAAAACCACCTATGTAGTCAGTTGGTCTCTGCCTTTCTGCGCCAACGTCCATCCTCAGACACTGTGGGCCCTGTGCGCTCGCGTTCCGCTGCCATGGCAGCAGGGGAGGGGTGGGGTGGTAGGAGCAGTGGCAGCTCCACCAGCAGCGGCTGCCTCAGTCTGCAGTCGATGATGAGTAGCTTTCTTCACCAGCGCAGTGAGGAAACTACTAACCAGCCGCAGCAGCAGCAGCAGCAGCATCAGGTGGACCTGGAGCAGGAGGTCAAACAACAGGCTTGGGCCTACTTGGACAGCACCCTGCCAACCGAGGTAGACAATCCCCTTGACTACTGGGCAACGAAACTTGACCTTTGGCCCCAACTAGCTGAATTTGCCCTTGAAAGGCTGTCATGCCCCGGCCAGTAGCGTGGCATCGGAGCGCGTGTTTAGTGCGGCAGGAGGTATTGTAACTCCGCGGAGGACACGACTGTCCACCCAAAGTGTGGAGAGACTCACGTTTGTGAAAATGAATCAGGCGTGGATTAGTCTGGATTTCAAACCACCAGTTCCTGACACAACTGACTAAATCCGCCATGAATCATGCCCCTGCCATGTGCCACTTTCAGGTCTCCTCACACACTGGGTGTGTTCCATTTTTTTGTCATAGGGTGCTGGCAGATTACGGGCCTCCCATAGCTGCTGCCAGGCCCCTAATCTGCCATGGGCCCCTATACCGCCTCCTCATGCTGCTGCCAGGTCCAGAGTCTCTCATGCCATGTGCCACTTTCAGGTCTCCTCACACTGCTGCTGGTGTGTTCAATTTTTTGACATAGGGTGCTGGCAGATTACGGGCCTCCCATAGCTGCTGCCAGGCCCCTAATCTGCCATGGGCCCCTATACCGCCTCCTCATGCTGCTGCCAGGTCCAGAGTCTCTCATGCCATGTGCTACTTTCAGGTCTCCTCACACACTGCTGGTGTGTGTTCAATTTTTTGTCATAGGGTGCTGGCAGATTACGGGCCTCCCATAGCTGCTGCCAGGCCCCTAATCTGCCATGGGCCCCCTATACCGCCTCCTCATGCTGCTGCCAGGTCCACAGTGTCTCATGGGTCCCTGTACCGCCTCCCATTGCTGCTGTCTCCATCGCCACACTCTGCCATGTGCCACTTTCAGGTCTCCTCCTCACACTGCTGGTGTTTCCATTTTGTCATAGGGTGCTGGCAGATTACAGGGCCTCCCATAGCTGCTGCCAGGCCCCTAATCTGCCATGGGCCCCTATACCGCCTCCTCATGCTGCTGCCAGGGGTCACAGTCGGCTCATGCCATGTGCCACTTTCAGGTCTCCTCACACACTGCTGGTGTGTTCAATTTTTTGACATAGGGTGCTGGCAGATTACGGGCCTCCCATAGCTGCTGCCAGGCCCCTAATCTGCCATGGGCCCCTATACCGCCTCCTCATGCTGCTGCCAGGTCCACAGTGTCTCATGGGTCCCTGTACCGCCTCCCATTGCTCCCACTTTGCCATGTGCCACTTTGAGGTCTCCTCACACTCCTGCTGGTTTTCCATTTTGTCATAGGTTGCTGGCAGATTACAGGCCTCCCATAGGTGCTGCCAGGCCCCAAATCTGCCATGGGCCCCCGTACCGCCTGGTCACGCTGCTGCTGGGTCCACAGTGTGACATGGGTCCCTGTACCGCCTCCCATTGCTCCCACTCTGCCATGTGCCACTTGAGGTCTCCTCACACTCCTGCGGTTTTCCATTTTGTCATAGGTTGCTGGCAGATTACAGGCCTCCCATAGGTGCTGCCAGGCCCCAAATCTGCCATGGGCCCCCGTACCGCCTGGTCACGCTGCTGCTGGGTCCACAGTGTGACATGGGTCCCTGTACCGCCTCCCATTGCTCCCCACTCTGCCATGTGCCACTTTCAGGTCTCCTCACACTCCTGCTGGTTTCCATTTTGTCATAGGTTGCTGTATGGCCTCCCATTGCTGCTGCCTCCACCGCCACACTGTGGCTCCAAACACTGGTTTTGGCCCCGTGACTGGCCAAATGAGTGAAGTGTGCGGTGATTCTAAGATCGACGGCACTCATCTGCATGTTATACTGACTGACAGTATTATTTCTCTTCCCCAGCAGACTCCAAGGGCATTTAAATTAAAGGTACAGTGTTCTGCACTAATATTAAGTCTCTCTGAAGCCTAGAAACACCCTTTTATAAGTTAAATTTCAATTCTATCAGAATGCGGGCAGACACTAGAATATCAAGCCTGTTAATCCTGAACACTAATATTGAGTAAATCAAAGGATCTCCAGAGGCTCTATATAGGGATGAGGTTCCTGTCTACCATCGGTTCAGTGGTGAATCCTTTCCTGTTGGCAGACGAGTCAAACTAATGTGACATGTCACCTCCATAGTAGCCAACTAACCATAATGCACTTCTGGCTTTTAAAATAAAGTCAGCTGGCTTAGAAGGACCATAAAGGGGGCTTTTGGATAAGCCTCTCCCTATAAAAGAGCCACATTAACAATGTTCTTTAGCTGTTATAGGGAAAGCATTAGATGTGTTGCTGATAAAGTGCATAGAGGAAGATTAGTGTAGGGTTTGTAGGCATTGGCCGGTCTCTTAAAGTAGTAAACTCTTACTGAATGTCCTGTAGGTAGAAAGTGCTTTTTATTTTGGAAAATTTGTAAGGGGGGTTATATCTTAATGCCACTTGGTGTCCCACACATCCTCTTTAGAGCCTGCTCACATGCACTATAGGGATAACAAGCTGCAGGTGCCTTTTTTCACAGGGAATATTTCCAAAATGCTGCTGGCTGCAACTGTTTTTTTCACAACCACTTTATGAGCTGTCCCTGTTCATATGCACTGCAGTGATAACAGGGTGCATGTGTATTTTCTTAGGGCAGACGAGTCAAACTAATGTGAATATAATAAATAAATATTTTGTAAATTGCTGCTGCCTGTGTTTTTTATTTTTCAAAGCCTCTCTATAGAGCATGCCCATGTCTAGTGATAACAGGATGCATGTGTTTTTTCACATGGCACATTTCCCCATTGTTGATTGCTGCGACTGTCCCAAGCCCCATATCTTATTTTTGTTCATTGCATTTTTTCACAGGGCTTTTTTTTAAACAGTTAAAACGGTGAAATATGCCCAGAAATTGTGTATAAGCACAAAAGCTTATATATTTCCTTTGGGAGAAACATGTGACAGAGTGATTTACCAGTAAAAGATTGTAGGAGACAGAAGGAACAGAGCATTGTTATCCCTTAATATAAAGTGCCCAAACAAGGTCCTTTCATATCAGTATCACCGTGTGTGTTATTTTCATGAAAGCTCATGGTTAAAAATACACTGCTCAAAAAAATTAAAGGAACACTTTGTAATCAGAGTATAGCATCAAGTCAAGTAAACTCCTGGTACATTGATCAGGTCAGTTAAGTAGCAGAGGGGGTTGTTAATCATTTTCAGCTGCTTTAGTGTTAATGAAATGAACAACAGGTGCACTAGATGGGCAACAATGAGACGACCCCCCAAAACAGGAATGGTTTTACAGGTGGAGGCCACTGACATTTTTTTTTTCCCTATTCATCTTTGACTATTTTTCACTAGTTATGCATTTGGCTAGGATCACTACTCGTAGCAGGAGGTGATACCTGGGCTCTACAGAGGTTGCGCAGGCAGTCCAATTCCTCCAGGATAGCAAATCAATATGTGCCGTTGCCAGAAGGTTTGCTATGTTTCCCAGCACAGTCTCAAGAGCATGGAGGAGATTCCAGGAGACAGGCAGTTTCTCTAGGAGAGCTGGACAGGGCTGTAGAAGGTCCTTAACCCATCAGCAGGACCGGTTTATGCTCTCCTTTGTGCAAGAAGGAACAGGATGAGCATTGCCAGACCCCTGACCTGACCCATTTTGGTGGTGGGTCAGTGATGATCTGGGGAGGCATATCCATGGAGGGACGCACAGACCTATACAGGCTAGACAATGGCACCTTGACTGCCATTAGGTATCAGGATGAAATCCTTGGACCCATTGTCAGACCTCCTGGTGCACAGCAATGCCCAGCAATGCCTCACACATGGTGAGACTATACAGGCAGTTTCTGAAGGATGAAGGAATCAATATCATTGAATCATTGAATGGTGCCCACGCTTGCCTGACCTAAATCCAACAGAATTAGTAAACTGTTCTTGAGCTTGGTTTTGTGTTTTTATTAAGGGGTTAAACTTGGATAGGAACTGTAGAACTTGTGAACAACTCCTTAGAAACTATGTAGAAAGACTCGGATTAGTAACAGTCTCTTCTAGGAGAGCACTAAAGGTCTACCTCCTCAGTTCCTGGATGATTCCTTCTCTTCACCTGGTAGCCTGAGGGCATCTCTGAGCATGAGGGCCCAAGAGCTGCTGATTTAACAGTTCCAGATGAGAAGCTAGTTGGGTGTTACACCTGACTGCTCTCTCCCCTTATCTGGCCCAGGGGGTGAAGGAGTACTCACACTGTCCTCTCCTGTTAGCTTAGTGGGTTGATGGCTGCCTTCAGGCCTTAAGCTGGGCTGGTTCCTTTCCTGCTACACAGGCTGTCCTACCCAGGAGATGTTGAGGTAGTGGAGATCCTCCTTCCCTGTGACCTGCCTGTAGGTAGGCTCCCCTCCATGGGGCCCCCTCCCAAGCTCTGCCACATTTGAGGGTTGCCAGGAGGACAAAGTCCTTCAAATATGCAACTCTGGGCCTCCTCCCCTCCTCTCCCCTGCTCCAGAAAGCTTTCATATTTCTGGAAAGGTGAGAAGGCTCCAGAAGCCCTGACCTGTTGGAGCCTCCCAGTCTGTTCTGAGGTGACCTCACTCCCAGCCTGACTCATCCCCGGGCTGCTACTCTATCTAACAAAAAAAAAAACCTAACTAACCCGGAGGGCATCACATTATCATGGTCCTTTTAAAGCTTGACAAAGACCCTCTTATACCTGAAGTATATTGCCCCATCTCATTGCTCACACTTGACATTAACGCCCATTAAGGTGCATTTCCGTAGGCCAAAGTCTACTTTTCATTAGAATCCATCTACTTTTAGACGGCAAAGACATTTACTAAAGAAAACGTCTAACAAATAGACGCAAAAGCGAATTTACTAATGGCCACAATAAAGAATCTAACTAAAAAAACACACGTCCTAGAAGCACATCTAAAAGAATGAAAAATCACTATAGAAACATGTTCACATTGAAATTTGCTTTCCCAAATATCTGGACTTCACTTTAAAGAATATATTACTTTTCAAAAAAATTCTGCAGTGGGTAAAAAATTGTTTTTTTTTCAGGGAATTCATGACAGTCAAGAACTAGACGCTTTTTTCCAACGTCTATGCACAGATAGAAATGCGCATGTGCAGAACACAATTTAGCCGTCTACCGCGGGCACTTTTCTTTTAGACGCTGTTTAATAGTAAATCTCTGTGTGGAGTCCTCTGAAAGACAGCAATCGCGACCGTCAACTGAGTTTCACAAACAGCACTATTTGTAGCTAGGCATATCTTAATGCATACTAATTTGATTTCCTTAGTTCTATTGATTCTATTTTTGTTTCTTATCCTTTATATTTTTCTGTAATGGTTTTACATATTTAGATCTAGATAATATATATTTTGACAGCTGAATCTAAAAATAAAGGTCAACAATTAAATTTAAAAAAAATGGCGTGGGGCCCCCCTCCCATCCATACCAATCCCTTCGGATCTGATATGGATTTTGAGGGGAACTCCCATGCCAAAATTTTTTAAAAAAATGGCGTGGGGGTCCCCCCAAAATCCATATCAGATGCTTATCCGAGCATGCAGCCTGGCAGGTCAGGAATGGGTGGGGCAAGCGAGCGCTTCCCTCAAACCATACCAAGCCACATGCCCTCAACATGAAGGGGTGCTTTGGCACAGGATATGGAGGGGAACCCCCATGCCAAAATTAAAAAAAAAATGGTGTGAGGTCCCCCCCAAAATCCATACCAGATCCTTATCTGAGCATGCAGCCCGGCAGGTCAGGAAAGGGGGGGGGAGAGAGCACCCCCCCCTCCTGAACCATTACATATTTAAGAACTGTCAAGACAGTGGGGCAGACAGACAGCTGATAGTCAGCATTGGGAGCAGAAACATTTTTTAGTCCTCTCCAGGTGGCCGAGGCAGCGGGGGTGGCGCCGGCATAGTGATTGATGTTGGATCTACTGCAGGGGACATTCTTTTAGTTTTCTTCTCTTAATAAAGAACTTGTCAAAGACTGACTGATTGTTTCTTCTGGCTCCAACTTCAGTCTACATTCCTTGTTGATAAATTCTTTAGCATTCTTAAAAATGGTGCATTATCTTGCCAGTTGAGGATGTTAGAATGGTAGCCAGATACTTAGCAATGCTGTGTGTGACAGAGTTGATTCTTTGGGAATCAGTGGTTGAAATGCCTGAACCTTGTCCCTGGATAATGCTGTACCCTGAGTTAAAGCATGAGGCCGGAGCCTGTTGGGATGCCGAAGAATATTTGCACAGTTGTCACTAAGGCAAGACATCTTAGGAGCTTTCTTTAAGGACCTGGAGCCCTCTGGTATTTTGTCAAGGGCGCAAAAAAGAAGATTGCGTTGGCCGGGAATCAAACCCGGGTCAACTGCTTGGAAGGCAGCTATGCTCACCACTATACCACCAACGCAAGGCTGTGCAGCAAGCATGCTGCTACCTCTGTACAATTAAGGCCACACATGACATTGACTCCACAGACCCCCTCCAGCGCAAGGTCCATTTTCTGCCATACCAACTGACCACTTGGAAGATCAGCTAGAAATATTTCCCCATTTGTGGAGAGAAAGAAAGCAGATCAAGTTTCAGAGTGAAAGGGCACGTCTCCCAAGTTGGTTCTGATGTTAAACGGGAAAATTCTTCAACTTCCCTTTCTTAGGCCTGACAACTCATTTTGTAGTTCCCCAGCAGGGGGTGTGTCTCTGAAGTCAAGGACCAATACCCCGTTTAGGGAGGGATCGTCTGGGTGTAGACCTAAACTAGAGCCAAAATCTCTTCTAGTTCATATTTTGGCTCATACCTTTCCCTATGCACAAGTGACATTCCATCCGCAGGTGGATTATTATGCAGCCGCATCTGAGGAATGATTAGATATGAAATATGAAATTATACACTGAATGGTTCAAGAGATCT